ATGCTTAGTGAGTTCCCCAGAGCATACCACACACCACACATACACATATCCTGTTAGCTAATTAAAGCTACACACATATCACATAAGCCATGCATACATAAAACCTGTATTAGTGCCATGGGCTACCCCACATGGTCTTTACCTAGGACTGACATGGGCTCCCCCACATGGTCTTACATCCAATGCCATGGGCTACCCCACATGGTCTTTACCTAGGACTGCCATGGGCTACCCCACATGGTCTTACATCCAATGCCACGGGCTCCCCCCGGGGTCTTCATGCAAAACACACAATCACATATCATATCAAATCACAGAAAGACTAACACATATATCATAATCACATAATGGGCCGGCCTTGGTGCCTTAGACCCATAGGTATGGTGAGAAGACTCACCTCTGTCTGTTGAATACAATAGCTGCTCTTTTAACAGTCTGAAACCTCCCACGCTGAATGATAATATTAATCAATGTTAGAACTTTGGTTAACCAAGGGAACCCAGCTCCCCAACCCTTCCATAAGGCCCAAATATCCATCCTTTGCTAATGGGCCCAAAGCCCAAGTCCAAAATCCTTAATGGGCTTCTTGGCCCAATAAAGACCCAACAATAATTCCATGGCCCGCAACAATTATATGACTCATAATTCCCAGATTACACCAGGCCCAATAATCAAATGAGGCCCAAATAGCCTAAGGGCCCAAAACAGATTCGACCCATCTGCATTGCGTACACTCGGCGTACCATCCTGGTACGTGCAGCGTACTGGGACATGGGACTACGCCTCGCGTACACTGGGTTACGCCCAACATACCCTCAGTTTGAGCACTTTCCCTATTAAGTGCTTAATACTCGAGTCCTTTATGTCCAAAAGCCAATTCTAAGTCTGTAAAGATGTCCTAAGGCATAAAGTTGGCAACTTTATGCCTTTGCATGTCTCATACACACCCAACTTCTCCATTAAGACCTTTCCAAGGTCTTTAACCCATGCATGAGGCCAAAGCTCCCATTAAGCTTCCATTTTTATGGTACTAAAGGATCAAAGGACCTCAGATCTGTCTATCCCATCTCCTGGAGTTGCTTAACTCTCAAAGGAGGTCCAAAATGATTGAAAAAGGGACCAAACAAGAAACCGTAACTACATCTAGAGATTAAGATGGAAAGGTGCAAGCTTTATACCTCCAGAAGCTTTGCAAGATGACTATTAGGCAGGATCTTGAAGCACCAACTCGTTCCAAGCTTGCACAACCACTTCTCCTTCTTGAAAGAACTCTAAAATGCCCACCAAAACCCTCTCCTTAAGTTTAAAACTCTCACACACAATACCACAGCTGAAAGTAGACGAAAAGAGGCTCAAGAGGCTGATAGGGTTTGGTCCAAGAGGCTAAAGGATGATTAAATAGGGGGGACAATTCCGAGATTTAGGGTTTTGACCCTCTGACGCGTACGCCCGGCGTACCCTCACGTACGCCCAGCGTACGTGAGGCTCCTCCGCGATCATTCATGCAGAGTACGCTAAGCGTACTCATAGGTACGCCCAACGTACTCAAGGGACCAATTATGCTTAAACGTAAATTCTTGAGGGTTTCAAGACGTACCAGGTTTTGGGTGTTACAACCTACAACTTCTTTTCTATAATGCAGTAAACATGTAAGATTTATTTGTTTTTCTTTTGCCTCTAATTCATTTAAATTTATGTTTTGGTTTGAATGGTTAAATCCTTTGAAACCACATATTCATTATTTGATCTTTGTTTTATTCCAATTAATGAATATGCTTGGGCTGATGTGATAAACATTAAATAGTCTTTCAAACAATAATTAGAGAAGGGGCGAGGCCATGGTGTGAACGCAACTGTGGAGAGTGTTGAACAGAGATTTGAATCAGAGAAAATTAGGCTAAATGAAGAAGAGAGAAAATGGATTTCTCTTAAAAAAGAGTTGAAAATTCAACTACAAACCAATTGATTTCTTGCTGAAAAGAAAAGGCAGGAACTTGAAACAAAGAAAAAAATTCAGAACAGCTAAAAGAAGCATTGCAAATTGCAATAGAGGGTCATACACGGATGTTGTTGTTGCACTTGTCAGTTTCCTACTATTTTGCCTTTGTTACCAGACTTTGGTTCTGTCTTTACCAGAAGTACACCAACATATGTTAAACAACAGAGTAGGCGAGGACACCGTTTGATTGAACTTCCCATAAATGTTACAAATTGTCGATTATCACAAGTGATGGATTCTATGCAAACTGTAGGTTTTCCAAAAATATCCTCACTTACAGAGGACAAGAAAAAAAGTCTCAAAATGGCCAACAATTCGGCGCTTGATCTACCAAAAGCTACTTCGAATAGTATCGAACATATTCAAAAGAAACCCCCGTCCATAATCTCGAGAAATCACTTCCAACGATCTAAATTCTGTCTCGCTACAACAATACTCTAATAAAACTTATAAAAAATTAATGTGTCTAAACTGTGCAGGTGCAGGTGTCGTCATGGTTTGGAATTGGAATTTAAGTAGACCTAGAGAAATTATATATGGTATTTTGAAGCCTGGAATCTGTAGTTCAAAATTTGAAATGAGTCGAGTTCCTAAGTTTACATCAAGTCAAAATCTACACCATGGATTTGAAGCGCCAAACCCATAATGTTTTTACTATCTTTGATTTTTTTTTTTGTTTTTATTTAGATATTTGAGTTTTATCGACATTCATCATGTAAATATATAGACACTCTCAAGATTATCATGCAGGGTCCCTTTAGTTTCTTTTGATTTTGATTTTGGAATCAAAACATTGATTTCTTTCTTTTTTATTAAAGTTTCGATTTTGGTTATTGTTTGTTTAAGTTTTAGTTCTAGACATGGAGTTTTTATTTTTTATTTTTTTAAAAAATCGATAAGATGTTATATTTAGTCTAACATTACAGTTCCAAAATCCACCAACATTACAACTTTTTTGAAACTCGGTTCTATTGATTCATGGTGAAAAAGAAAAATAAAAATGTTCTTTTTCAAATTCTTTTTTGACATCATTTATTATTTTCTTTTGATAAATTTCGTATTGGCTAATAAACCGGGAAACAATTAATAAATCGGGAAATATATTTTAATATGTCAAAAATGATTTTTTTTAAAGAAACTGAAAATATAACTGGTTTTGTGGGAAAAAAAATAAAGCATTGTTTTTCTAGATAAATTATTATAAGCTTCCCATTTATTTATTCAAAATTTTGTTAAAATATAAACCAACTATCTTTTTTTTTTGTATTATTTGAAAGTGAGTAAAATTATATATAAACCTTGAAATCCATGTGTTGTAAATGGAAGGTGGGGTAAAAAAAACAAAACAAATTGGCAATAATGTTTGTGGCCTAATGCTAATGCTTGTGTTATAGATTTGACGGGAATCATAAAGGAAGGAATAACCCCTATAAAAAAAAAGAGAATAGTCCAACATTGAGAAAGAGATGAACTATTTTATGTAATAAATTATTTGTGAATGAATTATGTTTTCTTTATAATATGATATGTTCCGGAAATAAACTATTTTAAAAAAGAAAAAGAAACTGATGAACAAAAATTAACCACCCCACACATATATTTAACCTAGATCAATAACATTTATTTTTACCAAACCAAAAATGTAAACGATATTTGTTGATATAATGCATTGTGTTCTCTGGACTATAATATATTTTTGAAAAGATATTTCTTGCAAAAAATAACTTTTCACTATAGCCGCATCACAACGACGTTCCTTGTGGAAGAACACTACAATCGTCGACATCTATTCCATCGAAGGAATAAATCTACAACAATATACTCTCCAAAGCCACCACAAACGCCACCGTTTGTCTTCCCTCACAACCATCGAACAACCACCTGCATCATTCAACTCTATCACCATGATTCTAACCCTAAACAACTGACACTTGAGTTTATGAGGGTTTTGATGAAGTTGGAGCCAAACTTTCCTAGGATTATGGTGAATTCGGCATGAATATTCCTAGGGTTTTGGTGAATTCGCCGTCCTCGTATGTTTTGCTATCCATTCTGTCAATGAATCGGCCGACACCTCCTGGTCAAGAAAATCTACCAGGTAGGTTAAAACCGAACCGAGATTTAGTAATAGGGTTTAATATATGTATGAAACTGGGTTTTTTTTTTCGCTTTTTCTAATATAACCGAACCAAATCGGTCTTAAAACTGTTTTCTTATTTAATTTCACTTCAAAAATACCGAACTTATTATAACCGAAAACAGTTTAACACAATGATTTTTAAAAATCGAAACCGGTTCAAAATCGATATAAAAAACAAATCGTTTGTAGTAACTAATTTCTGAAAAAATTATTCGCACTTGTTGCTTGGCGCGGGTAAACGGCTAGTATATATTAGAGCGTTTTATAACAAATTAATGTAAGCATGATAAATTCAACTATTCAAGATTAATAACAATGATATTGTCATTTTAAAACATCCCGATATCCGTCTGGTACACAATTAAAACCAAACAAAAATTAAAACTAACAAAGAAATTTCACAATATCGGTTAATTTTGACACAGTTAATTCATCTATAAACGATGAAGGAACAAAAGTTACAATTATAGAAATTGTTCTACAGAATGTGAACAGAGAACGGATGGAGGCATAAAATTTGAAAAATCAAAATCACAACCAAATATAAAAAATCGAAACAAATAATTCTGCAGCATGAGAATTGTAATTCAAACAAGGCATCCATCCAACATGAGTCGATGACATAATATAATTCTATAAAAAAAAATTACAAAACAGTTATGATTACAAATACCCATCAGTGATCTGTAGAGTTGAACCATTATAATTACAAACACTGTGGATTACAAATAACAAATATACGATTATTCAAATCAAAAGCACATCCCAAGCAGACGAGAATTATATGTTTAAATATGTTTGTAACACACAGGATAAAACAAAATTTAAAGCATGTAACAATAGTACAAGAAATGGGTGACCCTAACACCATTTTAGTTTGAAATGTAGGGAGCCATTTTCTAGAAAGCTTCTCCGGGAATTTGTTAGGGTTTTCCATTTTTTATGAGGATCCGTTCTTATTTGAACATGTTTGAGGTAACGAGACCAATCCGCGGGCTTGGTCTTCTTCTCCAAGACCTCCCTCAGCATGAGCCTGCAAAAATGATTGTTGTTTCTGAAGCGGATGTCTGACTTTGCAAATACGTGCTCGGGATGGCAAATCTCAAAGAATGCATTAAAAAAAAGGGATCGTTCCCACATGCATTGATCGCGTCCTGTTTGAAACGAGAGTTGTTGCACGTTCCTAGCAGGAGGAAACAAGAGCCTTTTTCTTAGTTCATCGATGTCGATGTCGATGTCCAATGGCAGCTCCTCGTCCTCCTCGTGCACCACCTCCTTGAAGTAGGCAGTTGTTATAGAAAGGCAGCACTTGTGTGATAACGTGAGTGTTTCCCTCATCTTAAGAAAAAAATCAGCATCAACCGGACGGGAGAGTGAGAGTGTAATCGTGGTGTGCTTGAGAGACGAGACTGGAAATAAGAGACTAGGCAATGAGAGTGTAATCGTGGTGTACTTGTATGTCGATTAGGTTGCTTTTGCACGACATCAAGCACAACCTCCTGATGGAAGCACATGTGAAATGGAAGCTTCCCAACATCCAATATCTCATAAAAAGGGTCAAATTATCAAGAAAAGGAAGTCCCGATTTGATCATGTCCAGACACTCGTAGTCCTGTATCACAACATCTAACCTTAACTGTGTCAGGCTGCTTGCTAAGAATACTGAATAGGCGTTGAATGGAATAAGTGGCATATATGGTCGCAAATCATGTAGATCGCAGCTAAACACGTCAAGATTTGGGAGATCGCTGAGTTCCAAAGCAGTAGAGCTTGCAGCATCCAAAGCTATTCGTAATTCATAAAGACGAGGAAGGTTTTTAACCTTCAGAGACTTGAACTCCTTGCAAGAATCTATAAGCGCTATCTTCTCAAGCAAGGTACAAGACGACAATAAGTCATGGAGTACCTCTTCACCTATGCTCACACCCTTTAAGTGAAGTTCTCGTAGGGAAACACAGTTTATCACAGGACGTTGGCTGGTTGTCATCCAAAAAGAATAACGAGATGCCATAGAAGCTTCGACTTTTATCTTAGTTAGGTTAAGATTCTCACCCGAGAGTATCTCATCTGGCAACGTAAACGAGGCACCAAAAAGCTTGATTGAGAGGAAAACTCTCTAAGACAGGTTTTGGTTGCGATGGGCCCGATCCATTTTTCAGCAAGAGAAGCTGACTCCTGGTTCTCGATGTCGATTAGGAGGAAAAACCTTTCTATTGGTATGTTGTCATGGAGATACCTTTTAAGAGTGCGGTCCACGCCCTCCAACTTCATCATGTTCTTTCCTCTTTGAACAATGAATCTGAGGATAGGGAAGGTAGACCAAGCGTGAAGCCATGACTTGGACAACACACTCGTGCGGCCTGCTTCTTCATACGGCAACCGTGATTGTATAAGATGCATCAACTCGGGAACATCTTCTACTTCTCGTCTCATACCTTCAAACATATAACAAGTTAACACATGATCCCATTTCCACAAACATCTTATCTTATATAAACAGGTATTGCATATACATACAGATATTCAACCTCAAATCAAACCAAAAACAACAGATTTCCATATCCATCCATAGTAAAGGTGCACTCTCTTTTTATAAATTTATAAGCGTATATGGTCCCATGTATTGTATGTATAGTTATTATAGGGGCATTATTAAGTCTTTGCCGCACAATCACAATCCACAGTATCGGTAAAGCCACTAAAACAATTTAGTTCGGTGATATGAGGTTGAGCGAACCATGAACTAAAAGCCCAGAGTCATTCCTCAAATCGCCGTACCAAATATAGCTTTAAATCTCTACAAAACCACAAAAAGTTTCAAAATTTCTCATCGATTGATACCCAGAATTCCAAACTTAAAAGAAAAACCCAATCTTGTAATTTCGGGCTTAGTCGCAGTATTTATGCCTCCAATTGTTCATATGGAGGATTCACACGCACCAACGAGCAGACAACAATATGCAAAACAAATCGCAAATCGGAGGATTTACCTTATAACAAAATTCGACACACAAGCAGCAGCGGCGGTTTCGTCGAGGGTGAGAGAACCACCACTATAATTCACGATCTAGGGTTCATCTTTTCCTTTTTCCGATTTATACAACGTCCTCGCCAAGCTCTCCCTACTTTGGGTTTTTCTTTGGATATGGCTACCGCAATAATTTGGTAAATGAAATGATTAAATATTATTGACAAATTATAATTTTTTTTAACGGCCCACAATTTTATTAAAAAACTAGCTTAGCTTATAGCCCGTTAAAAAATAATTAATTTTTTTTATAGTAAAAAATAATTAATTTTTTTTTAAAGTAAAAACTCATAATTATTACTTAATTATTTTCAATATATATATATATATATATATATATATATATATATATATATATATATAGAGGAATGATCATTTGAGATGCAAGGTGGCGTTTTTTAAATAAGTAGAAAACTGAAAAAATAAGGTATCGTAATTAAAAGAGACAGGGGTATTATAGGAAACAAAATATAATTAAATCATATTCTAAATCTAATATAATACCTGATAAACTAGACTTCCATATCTCTCTCTCCTCTCCTTCTCTCGCTCTCTGGGAAACCACGATCCATCGTCATCGGACCTCATCCGTCGAATTGCATCCAATCCTCCATCCTTTTGATGCTTCTGAAATCTTAGTGTTATGAAGCCTCAGATTATCAACAGGATAAAGTCTCCCAGAGCTCTAGCCATGTCACGATCGTGTCACATCTCCGCCTCATCTCCGGCGATCGAATCACATCTCCGCCTCATCTCACCGTCATCTTCAATTGCGTTAGTGTACTTCCTCCGCCTCTGCTCCTCCACGCTCTTGAATCACCACTATCTCGTTCTCGTCGATACGACCTAAAACATCGTCGATGTCTCTCATTCCTTACTTATTGTCGTAGATCTGGAATAGAAGTGTTAATTCATCAATCAAAGTGGCTTCGTCGATTCATTCATATACAATCACCGGGTAGCATTTATCACTATTTGTTTATACTATTCAATTTTAGTCAGGTATGAAATTGATCCATATGTGGATTATTGAGATGATAATTTTCTTTCTGATTAATGGAATTTTCTAGTTTTTGCTCGATTCCTAAGCTCTAAATCACAATTATCGTCTCCATTGTGGCATCGATTGTTTTCTAGAGTTCAAAATTGATTCTAGTTTATCAATGGATCTGTCTTCACGTGCAAAACTTGATTATTTGTTCAAGCTATTTGTTGATTGGGGGTCCGAGAGTTGGTAAAATTCTCTTATATTGAGTTTCACTTCCACAAATTACATTGAAGATCATTCTCACTACAAGAAAAAGACCCTTTTACGACGCGCAAACCACGACACTCATTGATTTATGTTATGCAAAAGAGAGTGACATTAAAGAAGTGTCATCTCTTTAAAAAATTTAAGGATTTAGGTCACGCATTATTGTGTGCCCTTAAATTAGTGTCTCATATAAAAAATATTAAAAACACGGAGGGCACTTGTGCGTCCTCTGTGAATGTCGTTTTATATATTTTTTTAAGAAACGCGTGTCTCCGAGGGAAAATGAAATCCCCAAATTTTTTAAACCCCCACCTTCTTCTCCCTCGTCTCCACCCCTCACCCACATCCACTGCCTCCAATCCTCATTGCCTCTTCTAGCCTCAAACTGCGGCGATGCACCTTCCTTCTCGAAGAATGCTTCATTTACCACTATCGTCCGATTATGTGAGCCCACGGAATTAACGGAGACGAAGAAGATTATGGATCAATCGCTTCACATCATGTTTAAGGTTAAGGGTTTGAGATTTCTTCCAAATCGACCCACACACTAAATGGTTCGATCTCCTCTATTTTTACCTTGTTCCCTCTACTGATGCCTCCACCTTCTACCATCGATGTTGATCTTTGAATTAGCAACAAGAAGCCCTAGGGCCTCCGCCATCACCCACCTCTAGCGCCTCCAACATTTCTTCATTTAATATCCTCTATCTCTCTCCTCCTCATCCTCTCTCTCTCTCTCTCTATCTCCCTCTATCTCTCTCTAACCTAAAAGTTTCAAAATGGGAAAAAGCTCCTTCATCTTATCCTTAAACTCATCCCCTCAGCCAACTGGTTCGTATCTAACCATACAATCGCCTCATCAATAGCATCATCAACCTTCTTATCAACCGGAGTCAACTTCTCACCAAGCTTCTCATCTTTTGTTGTGTTCCTCATGTTATACGTATAATTCTCCAAAGCATTCTTCACCTCCAACTTCTTCTTGTGCTCCTCATCTCCAGACTCATACTTCCCAGTGTTAGGCGTGTCAAACCCAACAAATGATAGGGGTACGATATACTCCTAAGAACACTACTATATTGCACTAACAGGCAGTACAAGGCAAGTAGGGTCGATCCACAGAGACACGGGACAATCGGTCTAATACCTCTTTGCGCAAGGTATGTAACGACGTGAAAATTGTAAGGGTCGAATTGTTGTAAGTAGTCGAAGTATGTTTTGGACTCTTCGAATATTTTGTAACGTATTTTACTAGGGCGCTTTTATTCGAAGCTTTAGAGTCAATGCCTTAGTATATTTTTTTGTATGCTTTCAGTTCTCTATAAATAAGGTTATTTACTAGAGTTAGATAAGAACTTTTACAGACTTGTCTACTATTCTCTGTAAAGAATTCGAAAGCCTAATAGAGCATAACAAGATCATATTTACATCGTGTGTTCAAATCTCATATTCTTACTTGAATTCATACTCTGATTAATTCATTACTCGATTCATTGTTTCATCAATTGGTATCAGAGCAGGAATCATATCTCTGATCTGATTTTCACGCTGTTCAAAAAGTTTTTGAATCAATTTTTTGATTCAAAAGTTTCCGCACTTTTTGAAAGTGAAAAATTGTCTAGATCTTAGTCTGTGATTCGATTATGCATTTGAATTGTTGAATCGAGTGTTATTCTCATCAATTCGATTTGATTCATCTAGTTTGTTTTCAAATTCTCAAATCTTTTCAAACTTCTCAAAATCTTCTTCCATACAACAATGGCGAGTTTCAATCTCAATTCGATGACCTCATTTTCTCATCTGCTAGGTTCATCAACCAAAATTCCAATGCTAATCCCTGAATACTATGATCAGTGGGCTAATCGTATGCAGGATTATCTGAATGGTCTGGATGAAGAATTATGGTCATGTATCACTGGAAATGTCAATGTTCCAGTGAATGTTCAACCAATTGGATCATATTCTACAAATTCTGGAGTTGATAATCAAACTGATCGTCTGAAGAAACTGGAGAAGAGGTGTATGAGGGAACTGCGAGGTGCATTACCTCCAGTTGTGTACAATTACGTTAGGAGTTGTACAACTGCAAAGGAAGTCTGGAACAATCTGAAAGATAAATTTCAAGGAAGTGAGAAGACAAAAATCAATTCAGTTAAACAGTGTTTGGTTGAGTTGAAAGATTTCAAACAAAAAGAAGGAGAAACAATTGAAGTTTACTATGATCGTCTGAACGAGTTAATCTATCGGTGCAATCGCTATGGAATTACCAGAACTTCAATGGAATTCAATCTCATCTTTGTAATGGGGCTTCGAAAAGAATGGAGAAGTGTGAGTATGATGGTGAAGAATCAACAAAGTTTTGATACATCAACTCTCAATGATTTGTATAATCAATTGAAAACACACGAAATTGAGGTAAATGAAATTGCTGAGGAATCGAAGTTGAATTTGGGAGGTCCATTAGCTCTTGTATCAAAGATTTTTGAGAAAGAAGATGAAAATGGTGATTCTGAGGAAGAAGAAGGATTCATCATGAATTCGGATGATGAAGCAATAACATTTTACTCGAATAATTGTGTCAAGAAATTTTTCAAAAAGCCGTTCAATTCGAAGACTAAGCTTGCTGAGGTGAAAGGAAATTATGTGAGTAAAAATGTTGTTAAGGAGAAAAAGAAAGTTGAGAAGCAAGATTCGAAGATAACTGATGGAAAGGGTGAAAAGAAGCTGAAAGGTGATGCAGGAATAGATTGTCATTATTGCAACGGTGCGAATCATCTTGCAAATGACTGTATGCTTCGAAAGAAGGATGAGAGGAAGAATAAAGTCAAAGATGAGGCATATTATGCAGAAAAGCTTGAGGTGGTTCGTGCTAAAGCAAAGAATTTGTCATTGGTTGCAAAGGGTGAGCATGAGGATGAAGATGGAACTTATCAAATCTGGTCATCCGGGTCAGACGATGAGGAAATGAGGAATCCAACGCATGGGGCGTTGTATGCGAAAATGGAGAACGACTCAGATGATGAGGAATTCGAAGTGAGGGGACGATGCTTCGTATCCAAAGCAGTTGACAAATCTCCAATGACAACAAAAGTACGTAAAATTCTCAAATCTTTTAATATTCCTACACATGCTTATGATTCTGAACTAATTTCTTTTGATGAGACGGTTACTTATTTTGATTCAATTGTTGTGTCTGCTAGCAATGAGGCCAACAAGTTGTCAATGGAGTTGTTAGAGGTCAAAAAGAGATTAGACATGAAAATAAGCAAAATTGAATGTTTGGAATTACAAATGACAAATATAATGTGTGACAGGGATAGGTTATCGAGTGATGTTAAACTTTTGCTAGCACAAAGAAACATCTATTGTAATTCTGCTAAACGACTTTATAGCAAATTAACTGATTTACATCATTCATGTGATATAAGTAAAGAGCAACATAGAAAATTACTACCTTTCCTAGCATTCGAAAGAGCAAGGTAGATAATATTTCGTATGATTGTGAGCAAATAATAGCTGATTTTGACAGAGTCCCTGATGATAGATATAAATATGGAATTGTCAAAATTGATGAATGTCTTGATGCGAATGAATTAGTTAACATAGTGAATGATACTTGACTAAATCTGAACAAATTCAAATTTTGAAAAAGACTGAGAATTCAACATCTGATTCTCAATCTAATTTTACTGATATTGAAGATAATTTTGACAATATTAGTGAAATTAGTGAACTTGAAGATGTTGATTGTTCTCAGTTGTCTGTTGTTAATGTTGCTTCAACATCTAAAGGAAAAGAAAAAGTTAAGGATTTGATGGTTGAAAATGAAACTGATATACCCTCAACTTCGAAAGTTTATGATATGAACTTCGTGGATCTCAAAGACAGCCAAACTGATGATAGTGATGATGAAGATGAAGTGAACATTTCGAAGGAAAAGAAATCTTCAAAGGAAGAAGAAAGTCCTCGAATTGTGGTTGATCAGGTGTATGGTGATACACAAAAGTTCGAAAAAGTGATGAATGAAAAAGGTGAACACTATCTTGAAACGAATTCAGTGGTTTATCCAAATTTCAAATGTACAGATAATGTCATTTTTCCAAATCAAGTTTTCGTAACTACTGAAAATGTTGAGAAAATCAAACCAGAATTAAAGAAGTTAGTTGAAGAGGATAATTCAAAAACAACTGATGAAGGTTTTTTCGCAAATCAAAGCACAGTTGAAAACAACTTAACAAAGAATTCGTATGTTTTCCAACGTAAAAAACCACAAAGAAAATGGGTTGAAAAATCAAAAATTGAAAAAGAGAATTCAAAACAAGTTGAAAAGGAATGTGAAAAAGTTGTCAAATTAAACTCCAAGGAATTCAAAGATCAAATTGACAAATTTTCGAAGGAAAACAACATTTCAAAAAGACAAGCAAGAAAGAAAATATTTTGGCAAAATGTTGAGACTCAAAAGATGTCTGAATCACAATCACCCAAAAATGTTTTCAAAGCTAAAAATTCATCTTTTTCAACAAAACCTCAACATTCATCTCAATCAAATCATTCAAAGTCTGAAGTGAAAAACAACCAAGGTTTTCGAAAGTTTCAGAAACTAATATCCAAGAAAATTTTCAAATAACTCAAAACCAATCAAAATTATTTCAACGTCAAAATTTTAAATCAACAGTTGATACATCATATGCTAAATCTTTATAACAAAACCAAAAGTTGATTTTGTTCCTATAAAGCCAAATTTTCCAAATCAAACGAGAAAGAAACTATGAAAACTTCACGAGAAAAAGGAATAACGTCAAGGAAGAACATTGATCATTGGCTTGAAGGAAAAGGAAAGATGTATCAGTCAAATACATTTTCAAAGGAGCAAATTCACGAAGCATATGAAAAAGTATGTGAATAATTCATCAAATGGCAATTCATCATATAAGGATTCGAACATATCAGTCAAAGCATGGAAACCAATTATAAAAGCAAAGAATGTTCATTCACAAACTCAGACTTCGAAGGGTAATGTCAGTGAACATTTGAAACAATCAAAAACTTATGTTTCGGTTCCTTTAAATGAAGAAGTGAACTTAATTGATAGTCTCAAAACAAAAGTTTGTGATTGGGTTAAAAGTTCTTCATTACATTCGAAATTGAATCTAATTTCCAAGGACCCAAAAAGCCTTGGGTACCTAAAAATTTTCCATTGAATGTAAGTACTATGTGATGAGCAATATGATAACAAGTGGTACATCGATAGTGGTTGCTCTCGTCACATGACTGGGAAGAAGGAGAATTTACGAGATTTTCGAAGTCTCAAAAATGCTGGAGTAGTGAAGTTTGGGAACAATCAAAAATGTCAAGTCAAAGGATATGGGAAGATCACGAATGGTCAATTCACAGTGAATCGGGTGGCATATGTTGAAGGTCTTCAACATAACTTGATAAGTGTTTCTCAACTTGTTGTGGGCACTGGCAATCAAGTTCTTTTTAACGAAGAAGGAAGTATTATTTCGAATGTCACAACAAAAGAGGTGTTACTGAAATCCAAAAGGAAAGGTGACATGTTCACTTTGGACATCAATCCGATAGTAGGGAAACCTGCTATATGTCTTCTTTCGAAGGCAACATCAGACTTAAGTTGGCTTTGGCATCAAAGACTTTCTCATCTCAATTTTCGAAACATCAATAAACTTGTGGTACAAGATCTGGTAAGAGGTTTACCTGTACTTAAATTTGACAATGATTCTTTATGTGCAGCTTGTGAAGTTGGCAAGCAACATAAACAAGGTCATCCAATTACGATTGATTCGAAAATAGTTGCACCTCTGGAGCTCTTACATATTGATTTGTGTGGTCCTTCGACTGTTTCAACTCTCAACAAGAAAAGTATATTTTAGTGATTGTTGATGATTTTTCCAGATTTACGTGGGTTTATTTTCTCA